AATCCAGATGCTGAATGGCAATGGGTGAACCAGCAACAGGGTGCAAGTGATGGGATATTGGTGTTTGGCTCACAGAAGCCGGAGTTCGCTTTGCTGGAGACGACTCCAACAGAGCTCAGAAAATATTTCGAGGGAATGTCTGCCGATATCGACATTGAACCAAGAAAGAGTGAATCGCCTGGTTCAAACCTGTGGCATCTTTCGGGAAAAGCCGAACCAGCTCATGCAGGTGAATCCGGGTACAAAGAGCTGGCTCTTGGGGTTCCTACATCTATCCTGCGGTATTTCTCCCTGGTGCGGATCTGGGCTCCATGGCTCGGTCCGAGGCATGGACAAGGGAAGTTTGAATTGTCCGAAGAAGCCATATTGTGCTCGTTTCTGCGAACTGACGGAGTACACATCGTGCTTCTTGGGTTGTCTGGGACGGATAATGTCTTGACCACTTTTGGATCAGGCGAAAATGGGGAAGTGATTGTCAAATCTCTGAGTGACAATCCAGAGCCGTCTTCATTCCAGATACTGGCATCAGCTGCGGAGGATTATGAAGTTGCAATGAGCGCAATCATATACGAAGCTCGCAAGCTTGCAAGACCATACGCCGAGCAAGAGGCATCTGATCACAAGCGGCCCCCGGTTTCGCCTCCACCGGACGATATAGTGGTGGTAGAAAAGGATGTGAAGGCACATTGGATGGCTGAGTGGTACGACGGCTTAACCTACTGCACTTGGAACGGACTGGGTCAGGATTTGACGGAAGAGAAGATCCTTCGTGGTCTCGACTCGTTGAAGTCCCATGGAATCCAGATAGCTAATCTCATAATTGACGACAACTGGCAAACCCTGGACGAGGCCGACTCACAATTTAAGAGGGGATGGAGGCAGTTCGAAGGAAATCCAGCTGCCTTTCCCAAAGGTTTCAGACAGACCATCGAAGCCATTCGTCAAAAGCATCCGAACATCGAACACATCGCAGTTTGGCATGCAATACTCGGATATTGGGGAGGCATTTCATCGGAGGGTGATCTTGCTAAAACATACAAGACAAAAAGAATAGAGATCAAAGTGCCTGCTGTGGGAGGAGCTATCTCGCATGCGTTTGAGAATGGCTCGGTGCTGGCAATTGACCCAGATGATGTCCAGAAATTTTACGACGACTTCTACAGATATCTTGCTTCCATTGGAGTTGACTCCGTCAAGGCAGACGCCCAGTTCTTCCTCGATCTGATCAAAGACCCAGAGGACCGGAGAAGATTCATTACCGCTTACCAGGATGCATGGTCCATCTCCACGTTGAGACATTTCAGCTCAAGGGCTATATCCTGCATGTCAATGTTCCCACAAGCCATTTTTCACTCACAGCTTCCAACGACCAAGCCTACTGTTCCTCTCCGAAACTCAGACGATTTCTTCCCCAACATCGAGTCATCCCATCCATGGCATATCTTCTGCAACGCCCACAACGCCCTGCTGACCCGCTACCTGAACGTCGTCCCCGACTGGGACATGTTCCAAACAAGCCACCCGTACGCCGGTTTTCACGCCGCGGCACGTTGCGTCTCCGGAGGCCCGGTGTATATCACGGACGAACCTGGTAAGCACGACATCTCCCTGATTGACCAAATGACCGCCAAAACCATACACGACGGAACCGTAATCCTCCGCCCAAGCCTAATCGGCCGTGCAATGGACATCTATCACGACTATAACGAAGGCCACATTGTGCGCGTAGGTACATATACAGGCTGGGCCCGAACCGGCAGCGGCATCCTAGGTCTCTTCAACATCTCCACTGCCGAGAAATCCACCATAACCCACCTCCTAGACTTCCCAGGAATCCACCAAGACTCCCAAGGTGACTACATCATCCGCGCCCACACCAGCGGCATGATTGCCTCGGACCTGCGCGTCCCGGACACGGAGTCATCCCTAGTCACAATAACCCTGCCCCCGAAGGGCTGGGAAATTCTAACAACATACCCAACTTACACCTTCGACCTGAGGGCCAAGAAACGTGCCTCCACAACATCCCCAGAGATAAAAGTAGCAGTCTTAGGCCTAATCGGTAAAATGACCGGCGCCGCAGCAACTATCTTCTCCGATATCTACGTTGAAGATAACGGCCGACTGCGATTCGACATTAGTCTGAAGGCTTTGGGAGTACTGGGGATCTATTTCTCCGATTTGTCGGACTGGAGTGTTGATGACAACTTCATGGTCATGATACTGGGGAGACCTGTGCCGAAGAAGACTGTCTGGAAGGAAGGTGGTGATGAGGGGAGAGTGGTGGCGGTGGATATTCTTACCGCGTGGAAGGAGATGGGGTTGAAGGCTGGGTGGAGTAATGATGTTCTCGTTGAGGTGTTTGTTGGTTGAGACATTTATAAAAGGGGTATACATATTATAAGGTTGTCGTCAGAGGATATTAGTACATCATGATATAGAACAGACGGAGTACATACAGATGCTTGCCAAGCAAGACAATGAATAAGAGTGCTTGTTCTGAGCAAAGTATCCAAGGGGGCGAATTCACTACTCAGTAGCAGCTACTGGTGGGCATATTCAACTGTTAGAAGTAATACTAGACGCTGGACGAGCAAGGATACTATTGTTGGTGCAGTATTACATGAACTGAACATTCTGAATATCTTGATACAATTCACATATACACCATTCTGTCATTAATCATTTTACAATAATAGCACTCAAAATACCAACAAAGCCCTCAAAACCAGGATCCGTCAGATCGCAACAAGTTATCCCACTTCACAACTACACCCCTGCACCACCCCTCCCAGACAAAGAAAACCACCTAATAATCCCCCGTCGGCAACCCCCTAACCGGCACATACTGGCCATGAAATCCAAACGCAACAGGCCCAGCCACCCTGGCCCTCCCCAACTCGACCAAATTCCTCGCATCCAAACAAAGCAGATAACTCTTCCCCGTCAACCCATCCAACACCACACTAAGCAACACACCATCATCCTCATCTCCATCCCCCTCCACACCATCCGGATTCGGAACGAAGATCGGTTCCCCGGGGGACTGGGCATGATGGGACCATGCCTTCGTTTCCCCGGACTCGTTATCGAATTTGATGATGCTGTCGAAGAGCGTGGATTTGCCTGTGTCTGCGACGGCGTACATGTACCGGTGTTTGCGGGTCACGTAGGCCGGGTGCATGGTGGGGAGTTCGGGGGAGAAGGGTTTGCAGGAGGTGGATTCGAGGAGGGCTTCTTGGGGGTTTTGGGGTTCGAGGTTTGGTGTTGTTGATGATGATGGTGATGGGATAGCAGGGAGTCGGAAGCGGGAGACAGATGAGCAAGTCTCGTCTGTTCTGGGTTTGGCGTGGGGAGAGTCGGAGAGGAGGTACTCGTAGTAGAGTTTATGCATGAAGTCTGCGGTGTCGAAGGTGACGAGTTCGGCGAGGATGTCGGTGTCGCCATTCTGGGTTGTTTCCTGCCATGCGTTGATGGTGTGGAAGCAGAAGAATGGTCGGCTGGTGTATGTGGCTACGAGACCTCGTTCGCCGGTGCGGTCGACGACGTACCATGTTGCTGGGAGGGAGGGATCGAAGGGCTTGATGGCGTCGAGGAAGCTCGTGGAGTTGGAGCCGAAGTCGGCGGGGGAGATGTGGGCGTTCCAGACGCAGAGGACGACGTAGTCTGCTGTGATGAGGAGGGAGTGTAGGTAGGCTGGGGTTGCGGGGAAGGATGCCAGGATGGTGGTTTCGCCGGTTGAGGCGGAGGTGCGGAAGATGCGGTAGGTATTGACCGGGCCAAATTCCAGGTTGTAGTTGAAGATGTCGCCGGTCTTGGGGTCGGAGCGGGCGTGTGCGGCGGTCCCGGGACCTTTCAGGTCGGGGTGGAGGTTCTGTTGGCTGGCGAGAGTGATGGGTTCGAGGGTCTCCGGGTCGAGCTGCTTGAAGGCGTTGAAGTCGGTTTTTGCGTGCAGGGTTTTGATCCCGGAAGATGTGTCCCAGCGGTGATTATTGGTGGAATTATCGGCGAGGCCTGGCATGTTGATGCTCAGAGTGACTCCGATATTTGCGGTCGTGGAAGTGGGTTTCTCTTCGGGTTCGTACTCCGTCTGGACCTTTTGGTATACGACCTTGCAGGGATCGCGCTTTTGGCCGAAGCTGAGTTTGTGCATCTCGCCGGTCTGTCTTACTTGCTCGATGAGAGCGTCGGTGGAGAAGCGGGAGTTGTACAAGACGCGCATTGATGGGTGGGTGCTGTCAGGGGCTAGGAGCTGGAATCGATGGGTCTCACTGAAGCCATCGAACCAGTGACTGGCGCGAAAGGTCTCCCCATTGACGGTGTCGACCTTGTATTTGCCTGGTCCGGTGCGATAGAGGACACCAGCTGCGTAGGCGGGAATCTGGCCTTCGACGGGGAGCTCGATGGGTGTTTTCTCCTCGTAGTTGGCTTCAAACTGTGAGATTGAATGTTAGTGAAGAAGATAGGAGTGTCGATGAGGAAGACTTACGCCTTGGACATTAGGCCAATTGTTGAAGTGGTCTTCAACGCGAGTTTCCTGTATGGCGGACATTGTGTGAGCAAAGCGCTGAGAATCGCTGCGTGTGTGGTAAATTGAAGGTAGTTTCTGTTGGAGTGATTGATGATGAATCCAAGAAGAATCAGAGGTGGATTCACGTACTATTTATCTGCCTGACTCTAGCGAGGGGTGGGTTGTGAGGTGGCTATGGTCAACTTTATTGCGGCTCAAAGAAATGGCCCGAGCATAGCGGTGGGGGAATCCCGCCGGAGTTGGAGCTGTCATATCACCCACCGTCTTGCTTACGGTGGAGGGTTTCCTGTCTCGCAGTGGTGTCCATTAAAGGTAACTTCTCTGACCTGCCCGCATTCGGAATTCATCCATTATTCACATGCCTGATAAAATTCATACGCTGATGATAGCCACAAGCCTGCAATAAGCACAAGAGACTAAGTTCTTATATACAGTCTAATGATAGTTAGTAGTGATATAAACTGCCCTGCCATGCTCTGTTCGCTGGTGTTCCCAAACTCCAAGTAGATGGCTTATTCCTCGAAATACCACGCCTTTATTTGATGCTCCTGTTCGTAAAGCAGCTGTGTAGATTCATCCCCCTGTTTGGACGCCATCGCGTCGTGCGCGAGCCTTCAGACGAGTCTGGAGGTTTGGATAGTATGGCTGGAGCCCTAGATCCCATGTGGGAAGCGCCAAATCGGGTATTGAGTTTATGGGCTCGGGCTGCGATTGGATGAAAGTCGGCGAAGGGGTGTGCTGGTTGCGCGGAGCCCCCCCGCTATCCTGCAGTCGCAAGTAAGTGCATTCCTTCCTCCGCGTGGCGCATTCTAAGCATGGCTGCCCCCCATCACAGGATTTCTTTAGCCTAGCGCAGACATCACATGCGTGCCGTTCTTTGCCGCCTATTCGAGGTCCTGGGATGGCCTGACCGGCATGTATACGGGCAGAACAAGACTTCCAGTGTCGCCGCAAGACATCTCTTGACAAGCCTCCAACGTCAGTTCATGCATTGATCCATTATGCATAGCATACACACCCTCGTTTGTAATGAGAGCCGCAGAATCCACATCTGAAAGGCTTCTGTGAGCTATCTGAGCGCCAATTCATCAGCACCACCCACGGTCCTTGCTTCCAATAAGTGTGTATATCATACGGGTAGCTATATGTCGCTTGTGATGGTCTAAGCGATGAAAGACTGCCGAGCAAAATTGACAACTCCATACCCCGTCCATGGCTCGGTTGTCGGTAGAGGCCTGCATAGTTGTAGCCCACGAGGCTGGAGGCAAATAGACAACGCGCTGTTGGTTGTAGCTGCATACACTAGGCAGAAATGACCGGAACCATGCGGGGTCGGAGTATTCGATGGCCGCTTGCAACTGAGCTTGGAGCGGGAATCATCCACACCGGCGGGATCAGGACCATTGATCTCCTGAGAGGAGAAAAAGGAACGAGAAAAATCCAGGAGCGGAGCTGAGAAGGGCTCCGAGGGAGATGCCCCTCCCGAGTCAGCAATAAGCAGAGTGGAGGAATCCCGCAGGTTACCGAGCCAGTGCGGATTAGTTGAGGCGGAAGTGGAGGTGGAGGTGAGCCGAAGGATTGGAAACCCCGGCGGCATTCCCCCGCAGACCCGAGGCCGATTGGCCACATCGCGCCTCAGCCACCATGGTTTGTTCCCTGGATAGGCGAATCCAGTCTCACGTGGTATATGTATTTCTTGCTAACATATATCGACTACCGATACCATATGGTTCAGTCCAGATAGTTCCGTCTATACTGGCATCGAGGAGCCATCCGTGGCAGATGATATCGTCATCTCCCTTACGATAGTTTGGCACGGGAAAAGCTATTTTCTTGACGAGCGAGTCGAACTCAACACTTTCCTCGTCCTTGAAATAGGATCTCTGCTTTCCCGACTCTCGTGATTTGTAGCAGTGAAAAAGTTGCCGTACAAAGCCTTTATCATCCCCGAGATGGTCCTTGCCATTAACCATCTCAAACTCATCGGCTGAATCTGCAATCAGGAGCCGTTCGAGTGAGGGCAAGAAGTCAGTTGACTGCCAGCCAGACCGAACATCGCGATCCAAGCCAGAAGGTGCAACAAGGACCAGGTGTGTCAAATTCGAACACCGGCGGAGCCCCCCAATGAATTGCATGGATGTAACATCAACTTCGCACAGGGCGAGACGGCGCAGACGAGGCCATAGTGACCACACCGCTGGTTCATAATCCGCCTCCTCCAGCTGGTCGGAAGGGGTCTCCCAAATGTAGGGTAGCTTTTGCGTATCAAGGCAAAGGTCGTCTGCAGCTGAACAGAATTCCTCTAGTAGTGTCAAGCGCTTGAACGCTTCGCGTAGCATGGGGCGCACCTCCAACTCGGGGACTGACGGGTTATAGAAGCGCAGGGGTAAATCAATCACCAGCCTGGTCAAGCGGTGACAAAGGTGAAACGAAAGCGTTTCGATATCTCGCGCAACCGGGGGCCTATCGGGCTCTTCCAAAACCAGTACAAGGCCAGCTGCAGTACTTTTCTGTACTTGTGCCCCCGTATCATTTGGCCTTCGGTTGACAAGTTCTGGTGGCTCACATTCGAGCAGATGCCCCAATAACCATTCATCGTCAATCAGAAGACAGTGATTAATGAGAAGTCGTCTTGCGATCTGGCAAGTAAATCGCGAGACCAATGTCAAATTGACCAAGGTATCGATTTCTCCTGAAAAGTCGGGATACGCCACCGGCGGATCTGGAGGGATGATAGACTCAATAATGAGTTGAATGATTTCGGGCGGAAGACGCATTGGCACCAAGGTGTCACCGGCGATCTTGTCAGGTAAGTCACTATGTGAAGCAACGATTGATTGATAATTGATATTAGGAGGGTACGATCGACAGGAAACAGAGGTGAGAAGTTGTTCAGAGCAAAAGTCGATCTGGGTGAATGTCTCTCATTGATGTTGGCGGGGGGATGCTCGAATCCTTCTGTCCGGCAAGCAAAGTCAACAAACATGTGAAGGGCGTCGTGTTCCCCGGTCGCCGTAAAGCTATATAGGATAAACTGCGAGCATCGCGGGGGATCCTAGACATCCAAGGGACTAAATACGCTGCCTAGAATATTCAACTCGGCAGGAAAAATGGCCAGTTGTTGCAAAGATGCCCAGCTTCCTGGAGATCTGCCGGAGTCGTCCAGCCGGCCGATCTTGGCTTAGTGCCGGTACAGGTGATGGCTAAACCCGATCTAGCTTAGCGTGCTATCTCCCCATAGCCACCAGTCCATCTTGTTTTCCTATTTCTATATCTTCCCGTAAATACTAGAATAAGCTATATTATTATTGTTGTTATTATCAAGATTATCTAACACATTATGGGAAAGGCCGTTATCAAGGATTATTTCCTGTCACCGCTCCCCAGATATATGCCGCCCAGCTTCCCATCACAAGCAACACCAAACCAGTGAAGCAGCAGATGGAGATCATTCTGCTACGCTGGTAGTGTGTCACCAAATGATGTTCCCGAAGCTTGCCGATGTACTCAGCTCCGGAGGCCATGCGTCGCTTGCGGGTCCATTGCAGAGGAGCAAGATCCCGACCGATAATGGAACCGATCAGGAGGACGATCGAAACAATCGCACAACAGATGGCCAGAAAGAGGTAGACTCGCACGGATCGACGGTAGGAATCATTATCAGCATCTTGAAGCGCACCTGTAATGATGCCGATAATAATCGTCATCCTAAAGCTATTGGTTAGTCCTTGAATTCTCTATGCTCGTTTGGTTGTTAAGGGGTCATACGCGTTATTCATGGTAACCTTTAGTGCGTACGCAGAGCCAAAGACCGACTGGTGCCAAAGAGTTGTACGGATGCCGTCGATGATAGATGTTGGACCCAGTGAAACCGCAACCGCGTACATACCGAATGCCGCGGCTGTGCCTTGTTTGGACTCGGCGAAGTTCACGAGTACCATGGCGATAAAGATCCCCAAACCGCACACGCATACTGCGATAAACCGTGAGTAAACTGTAGCTCAGCAACATGAGTTAACTACTTACGAACAGAGGCACGATGGCCGAGGATGTCAATAAAAACTCCCAAGCAGGGTACAAGGAAGAAACCTGGATTGGTCAGCGATATCTCTTGTAACGTAAAATCAGTTGATGACCTACCTGCATATTGGGCCAACGAGCTGTACCATCCCGCCTTGATTGCATCGACATTGAATCTCTTCTCAGCTAGCTCTGTGGCGTTCGAGCTGAAGACACTGGCTGTGCTAGTCTGGAACATTGAGAAGGCGAGAATAGCCCAGAACATCCACGGCAATTGGAACATCTTGCGGAGTTCGAACTTCTTGTTCTTTTCAGTCAGAGTCTCCTGGGTTGCCTTGTCTTCGCGACCACGGAAGTGTTTCTCGCAATAACGATTGAACAGCCAGAAGAAGCAAGTTGCTGCGTTCGTGAAAAGGTTCATGAAGACGGATGTCCAAAAGACCCAAGCGAAATTACCGGTATTCTGTTCAGTGTCAGTAGATCGAAAGGCTTTATTGTCGATGATATCCATACCTTAGCAATGATATTTGCTGTTGACTTCCCTACAAACCCTCCAATCTGTATCGGTCAGCTTCATTATGTGCCGTGTGTGGTGATCTGCTTACTTTGCCAATTGCCAGTTCAAAACCAAGGGTCGAGGCGAATCCATTGCTTGGAGGAAACCACGACGAGAACATCTTGTACTGTGCCGTTTGGGTAGCAATGTCACCAAGGGAGAGGATGATCCTTCCGCCGACCATGAACTTGAATGATCGAACTGTGGTTGCAGCAGCCACTAGTATGGATCCAATGGTATACACGATATTGCCATAAACAATCATCCCTGTGGCAGGTTAGATATTGCAAACTGAACGACGAAGGTTTGATGTACTTACGAGCACCTCCTACTCTGTCGGTCACAATACCACCCGGCAGAAGAAGGACGGTAGCCATAAAGTTCTCACTGGCTTCAAGTAACGAGAATTGAGTATTCGTGATGTGCATTTGCTACACCGAAGGTCAGTAACATCTCCAGTGTTGAAAGCAGTGTGTAATTACCTTTTTTAGAGTACTCTTCATCGCTCCTACAACGCCGCTGCTCCAGTGGGATCCAAAACTAATGCAGGAAATGACAACCACGGCAATCAGCTTAGCAATCAACGGTGGCGGTCGTTTTCCATCTGCATTGCCCATTACTGTGTTGTTGTCTGTTGAATGGAACGAGTCTGAAGAGGTAGGCTCTGCAGTTGTAACCTCGGTGACTTTCTTGTCGGTCGCCATATTGCAAGGCGAGGGCACATAAACCACCAACCAGACGTTATCAGGCTCACGATTGGTCTTATGATGATATAATTTGGCGGCCTTTGTGCAGTCGTTCCTCTTTTGCAATAATACTCAGCAAATTTTCCGTCGCACAAGAACAAAAGGCGGGCAGCGAAGAAAGGAATGGATCGACACAGTCTTTATAGGAATGCTTGCAGCAGGGAGCAAGCGTGTTCAGACAAGCTAAAGCTTCTTTTCTCACCGACCGGACCCATGGTGCCAAGGAGATACCATCAGATAAGATGCCCGTGTTTCTCCGACTGTCGCAAAAGCATCCCTTTCGAGGAAAGCCGCCTGTCTTAGGTTTGCGATATTAGGCTTGGCATCTGTGAAAACCTCGATTTGCTGGAGCATGTGGTGTGCTAATATTATTGAAGCTGTGGCAGTAGTCTGCTTTCATTGGCCATACCCTGCTCATTGTGACTGATTGATAAGATTGGTGCCGTGATATGACCCACTCCGCGGACAGGTTCCGTAAGGGAAAAGCCATGAAGGGAGGCGAAAACAATGGTTTGCCAAGCCTGTTCCGCTGCTCGATGACAATGACTAGGTCTCAAGCTCGTAATGGTGCCCACTCAGTGTGCGGATTGCCTGAGAAGAGCGCGCTGTCCGCTCATTTTGCCTCTTCCCCCGATGATCAAAACCCGGATCCAGACTTCAGGTTTCCGGTCTTAACATGCACGCCATGTTTTCTGATATCATGTGTGTGTTGATGTTTGCCAGTCTGTCAATATTTGAGCTTTCGCCATGTACGGTACTTGCCCTCGACAGGAGACCCTTCCGCCAAGCTACAAAATTTTAGCCTATTTGATGTGTCCGCCATGTGCACTTAGGATTAAGTATTAAGGTTAGTTGGAATGCTCCCCACCATAGCACGTGGAATCATCAACAGTCGGAACTCGGGACATCAGGAGAAGAATCTTCACACGTAATTACTTGCTCAGCTTGCTCAAGTGGATTGTTCCACCTTCCAGCGACCACGTCGTCGAAGAACTCAACCTCCGAATAGTGGGGACAATGACACAGGATAGGGATTAACGTCCGATCCAGGAACCCGATCGGAAGAATGAACTGCAAACGGCCAGGGATACTTAACTGACCAATGATCGATGAATCTGGTTTTTCTCGCTCAGAAGATTGGTAGTGGTGCCAGGCACCAATATGTCCTTTGCCCTTCGAATATTCTTCCAGATTTAAGAGGGCTCCTCTTCATCCCCCACCCTCGACAAGGGCCAACGTCTGCCGTAGAGTGCCTACCGATACTAAGAAAAATGAACATGACAACGTCTCCTGGATAACTCTGGAAAAGCCTTTCACATACTATATTCACAGATCAGCGGTAACTCAAAATGTATCCTTCACGCCAGAATGAGTCAAAGGTGCCAGCAAGACTAATGATGAAGACAGCCCTGCTGATCAGTTCAGAAATCAGCATTTTGATTTGTACCGCCCCGAAAGACCTGCTGTGAAGATACCTTCCAAAACTAACATCGTCGCCTGCGTGATGTTGAGTGAATAGAATTAGATCTCAGCAGGATTCCGTGAAAGATCCCGCTGTCTACGGGAAGTTCCATAAAGAGAATCTCTGCCACGCAGGTTCATCCTCCAAGGAACAACCCACGCACATATAAGCAGCCTCAAGAAGGTCTGACGCTAGTTGATAGATGCTTATCGTAGCATAACTTTACGCTATTCAGCCTAGGAACTTCCCATTCTCTCTATAGCAGCCGACACCCCTGTACTTACATTTAAGCGACTTACCACTTGAACAATCCTTATCAATTTCTTTGGGCACGAGAGATCTCCCCCCATCACCATCGAATCCCCAAACAAGAAAGGTATCACTCGTCCTCAAGATGAAGTTCGAACGACCCTCCTCGCCCCTTACCATCGATGGCGGGAGGCTTGTATGTCGCGAACACCTCCTCGTGATCTGCGCTATGTGCTGCGTGGATTACAGCAACATGAGAGAGGACATCGAAATGTGGGAAGCAGGCGATGACTATAATAACCGTGCTGTTCAGGACACTCAAATGGAAGAAGCTGGTGATGTTTATAATGACAACAACAGTTCTACCAAAGCCACCAGAAACGAGAGACAACAACCCTCGATGAACCCTCGATCAATGGAGATCGATGAGCCAGACCGAAAGCCCAACAAGAGACATAAGGGCCGACACGGCAAAGAAAGCCGAATTCAGCCCGTTTTCCCCCAGAGATTTATCCCTCCAACACCAGAGGATACTCCACGATCACTCTTCAAACCTCTCGTTTTCGTATCAGAGGGCAGGCCTTCGATACGCCGATTCGTTGGAAGAGAGAACCACTACCAATGCCTGGTATATACAGCTGGCGCTTGCCATGATAATTGGAAGGGGGATGAGAACTATGCCAAAGCTGGCTGGTCATTTGTATACAGACCACAGAACCCATCACGCAATATCACTGGTGGGGTTGCTGGTCGCCTCGAGTTGATGGGCCCAACTAGAGTCTATCATCAACAGACGAGAACTCGTGCAGAGCTGCGAGCTGTGATTGCGGCCTTGAAATATCTGTCTCATGACGGCAATACGTTTGACAGCGTGGTTGTCGCCACGGACTCAAGTTATGTTGTCAACAATGCAACAATTTGGATCCGCAAATGGCTTACAAGGGATTGGAAAAATGCTGGTGGCAGACCGATCAAGAATAGGGACTTATGGGAGGCGTTGCTAAAGGAGGTGAGGTGTTGCTATGTGCAGGGAAGAGAGGTCTATCTGTGGCACATTGATAGGTTGCTAAATCAGGATGCGGTTAGGCTGGCTAATTGGGCGACTGTGCCTGACTCGGCTCCTATCGAGTTCGTGGAGGAATTTCCTCCTTCGTTGTGATCGATCATGTGAGGATTTTATCTACGGTTTTATTGTAAGCCCTGCTTCTCTGGACGTCAGTTTCGGTAATAATACTCTTTTTTCTTCTATTGATCTGCAGCCATAATTGTAGTATATATAGAAACGACCGGCAATAGCAATCCTCTATTACGACTTTAACATGGGCTGAGCCCCATCAAGTCCACCAAAGTTTCCTCGGCCATTTTCCGAAGCCTTGAAATCTCAAGGGAAAGCACAGTGGATGGGTTGGACATGGGGTTTGCACCAAACAATTGCTGTTTCGTAGCGGCCATCATCGCAGTAGTGTCCATAGAAACAACCGGCAATAGCAACCTTCAATGAAGATGCTAACATGGGCTGAGCCCCATCAAGTTCACGAGAATCTCTTCAGCAATTTCTCGAAGACTTGGAATCTCGAGGGATAGTACAGTGAATGGGTTAGACACAGGGATTCCACCAAACAACTGTTGTTTCGTAAAGCAGATAGATTCTTCGATGGGTAGAGGATCGGGTTTCGGAAAGACGGCCTATTCATCCAAAATCAGTAAACTTGACTCAACAAAGAAGTAGAAATGTACCTACCAGCTCACGAATAAGGAGGCTACCTGTGTTTCCACGTCCCCAGACTTCAATAGATCCTTTGACCTTATCATTACGCACCTTGCTCCACTTCAAGAGTATAACATATTCCACTTCAACTGTGCCGCCCAACCACAAGTCCTTGTCTATTCGGAGACGCGGAAAACTTTCGGACCATCCTGATTCAATCACAACTGATGCCATTCTATTGGTACGGGCGGATAGGTATAGATCTGGCTCTTTAGAGGAAGATGTGTAAGCACCGATGAATCCTTCAAACCCTAGATCTTTTCGTCAGAACAATTAAGCTATTAGGTATTCTAAGACTTACTTGTTCCCACACCGAAGGCAATCTTGAGATGCTCTCCTTTCTTCACCGAGCCGTTATAAGCCCAATCCAACATGGCGGACATAACCCACTGCTGGTGAGCATTATGGAGGAAGTTCGGCATAACACAGATCCACAGGGTCTTTTCAACCGAGTTTAAACTGACTCTAAAGCAGGAAATCGTTGGTAAGCTCATATGTATACTTATCTGGGAGCTTACCTAGAGGTTCTTCTCTCGATTTCTAGATGTTCTGCCAGTGTCCTAGCGACGAGCAAACCGTCCTCAGGCTCAACTTCTTCGTACGTTAACTCGGTATACTCAACCGTTGATGGAACGAACTTGACGATTTCAACGACTATCTTTTGGGCTACTGGTCGAGGAAGCTTGACACTGAGGGGTGGCTCCGGAGAAGGAGAGCGTGCAGGAATTCCTGGTGCCATGGTAGACGAGGTAGACATATTCTGAATAGATGACAGATGAAAAGAGGTTGGGAAGATGGATGGCAAGTTTCTGGGGAGGGAAATAAGTGAGGGGAGAAGGAAGGAACAAGTTGCTAGACGAGGTGGGAAGTCTGTCATCAATACCTGAAGTTTAGAAGGCAGTCAAGCACATCACCCAAACGTAACCACTTCGCCATTCACTCTCGGCCCTATGCCAACAGAAAGGGTATCTATCAATACAGAGAAGAAGAAAAAAATACTGATATGTATGGTGTGTTCTGTAAAGGCCTTCCGCTGCACTCACTATTCGCTACGAGTTTACGTTGCTATTGTAAAGAGACAATATATTGTACGCGTCCCATATCACGGAATAAACGCTAACATAATAGTAGATAGTACCTTTCAATTGCGGGGGTATCTCGGTACACGTGTGTTCGAAATAGCGAATTTCTGATAGAGATTGACAGATGGCTCGCCCAATCCTTCTCCCAGAAGGTTGTTCTGAAAGGCATCCTGTATCTACACCCTATCATGGACAGCCGGATTCCCTGCTCAGCCAAACAAAATCTCGTTACGCTGAAGAAGCTATGTGGTATCTTAGTCACTACTATGTGGGATCGTGTCGACCCGGCCGACGAAGACAGGAGAGAGAAGCAACTGAGTACCACCCCAGAATACTGGGGAGATATTATTGCAGCAGGCCCACAAAACCTTTGGCATGACAATACCTATGAGTCCACAATACGTCTAATTAATCTCTATGCGGCTTCCCATTCGACCAAAGAGAAGAAGCTACACGCCATTCAGCATGAAATGGTAGTAGAAAAAAAAAGAAAGCCTTACATGGGACAGACGCTGGAAAATCTGTTGAAGACGCATTAATCAAAGGGAACGATCTAGACGGAGGATAAAGCTCGATGACCTTCGGAAAATGATGAAGGAAGCTTTCGCAGAAAAGGACAAGAAATCCGCCGAGATGCTGCGCCAGAACACTGCGGAGATTAACGCCAAATCGAGTTCGTGGAGGAAATTTCTCCTGCGTGGTGATCGATCATGCGAGGGTTCTATCCACATTTCTATCGTAATACCTGCTTCTCTGGACGTCAATTTTGGGTGGACTTTGGGTTTACTAACTTAGCTAGTTGCATTGGCATCATTGGCCTTATCTTGCCTTGTTTTCTATTAGAATATGAGACCCTTTTGGCACCACAATATGATATAAAATTCTGCAATACCCTAGGAAACAAACACGGTCCATTCGTAACAAGCTGGATGGATTCCAGAAAAGTAGTCTTCCTCATTGCACACCAAATACACTATACATTGTATGATCGCATAATCCGAAGATATAAAATAGGCGCTGGAGACGAAGCTCCTCATAAACAGGTGGCTCTCCTCTCATCTATCCATCCATCTAGTTTCGGACATCATCAAAGGGGGCAGTTAATTTCGGATTTCCCGCGGAGTTTATGTGCTCCAAAGAGACAAAGTTGTTCTTTGGTAACTACATAGTACGGTACCCTTCCAAAACCGTTACGCACCAGTGGTGAAGGCATCTCGGGGTTAGGCACACCATATCCTTGAAGACGCAAGAGGGAGTTGCGCCGCTTGCTGGTCATGAAACCTAGATTATTCCCTGTGGAGAAGACGATAGTATCCGTCTTGCGAGGCTCCAGCCGGCTCCGGCCAAACTCGAATGCTGTTTGTGGGTCGAAGCTCGACTCCTGACAACAGTGTCCTAAGGCAGATTGTTTGCTTTTTTTGATATAAAATATACAAGATTACGTGCTGTGTTAGCATGGCATCTTGCGTATTGGAGATTACTAGAGTGTGACGATAAGCAGTTGCTTGGTTAGCACATGCAATTACCAGGAGTTCTATAAAAGGGAGTTTGCTGCATGAGAGTATCACTCCTAAAGTTGCAAATCGATTCAGAGCTAGACTACTATTTTTGGTAGTGGAAATCAAAGAAAGTGGGCCTGTTGTTGGGTCTAGCTCCCATACGTCGCTAGATACCGTCCTAATGACCGGGGGAAACACAACCTAATAACAGAAAGACGGAAGAATGAAACAAAAGCAAAATAAAGAACAAAATGTGCATTTGTTAGCAAGGAAATCTGAATTAGAAAACGCGGAGCAAAAGGGGCAAGTGCAGAAAATATCGAGTGTACGGCAAATGGACCGACGAGCCACCAGCGAAGGTCTTCTTAAGACGTTCTAGTCACTGCAGTCTTTCACAGCCCTCAATATTGGGGACACTTAGAGTCTCCCAAAGAAAGTCTTCGGAACTGTCCATGTAGATCACTCGCTTCTCCTTCTTGTGGAGGTTGATAAAATTCCTCCAGAGTTGGAACCCCCGAGAGTTGGCGCTGCCCCCCATGCCTTCATCTCCGATCACAATCAGCCCGCCTTGCGCTCGACTAAGGGCCACACACATCCGATTTGCGTCTGAAACATGACCGAGCTTGTTTCCACGTCCTGGGCGAGTTGTCGAAACTATCACAATGGACTTTTCACGCCCCTGCGCAGCATCTACGCTCATGATATCAACGCCACTGAGCAGAAATTTATCGTGGAGAAGTCTCTTCAACAGATTTCGTTCTTGTGCATAATAGGACAGCACCAGAATATTCTCAGGCGGGCAGTCAGCTGCGCACAAATCTCTCACGAATTTTGTTACTGCCGAAATGTATTTGGGATTGAACAGAGACGTTCCATTCCGGAGCCTCCAAACCTCGGAGTCTTTGACAGAAATGAAATGTGATCTTCCAGGGGCGACATCGTACCTATCCGTCACGAAACGCTCCCATCTCGGCGTCTGACGTGAAGTAGAGTCATCGGTGATGAGGTTTCCCCCATAAAAACTTTCACTCACGAACCTTGCAATCAATGGGTGCATTCGGTACTGTCTGGCCAGGAGGATGTGACGGACTCCAGTGGTATGAAGTCGCTCAAAAAGAGAAAGACGCTCGAAGTTGTAAGCCTCGTTTTGGGATACTGATGTGACGGTTGGGGGGAGCTGGGCTATGTCTCCGCTCATAATGACTTTTCGGATAGACGGATAGAAACGAATAAGCGGGCTTATGACGGTGCTCTCGGTTATCTGTGTTGCCTCCTCAACTGTGACTATCCTTGGGCAGAATCGTCTTAGAGCTTTTCGTCCGGCCGTTGAAGCCGTACAGAGAACGATATTAGCCTGCTCTAAGTAAAACTGCTGTAGTTCGAGCCATGCTCTCTTGTAGGAGGTCACGAGAGTTTTCAACACATCTTCAGGACTCTCCGGATCCTCAAAGAGCTCCGATGGGCCACGTAATGTTAGTTCCGCATTTGTTGATTCAACGAATAATAATCCACGACGTGCCAAAGAGATCTGGTAAGTCAACAAGTTCCAGAGGAGAGCCATCTCTGATTTTTCTTTCTCTGTTTCTTGAGGCCATTCGGATTTCAACTTGACGGCCAGCTCCACTCGACGAAGAATATGCTGCCCCAATGAGACCTCCTTCGTAAGCATCTTGTCGCTTTCAGCAGTCGTTGACTCCACGCTGAAGCGTAGGACCTCCAAGAACTTCGGATCTATGCCGGCATCCCGCAAGCTTTGTTTTGTAGAATCAAAATTCCTCTGGGTCTCCGTTGTCGGATGGGCCATTTCGGGCGCCATCTGATTGTCAACATCTTCCCCAAGCTCAGTGTCTAGACGAAATATTCCCTCGGTTCCCAAGCTATCTCTCTTAAATAGCTTGAGCATTTTTCTGGTGATCTCATCTAGACCGTAATTCGATCCGCAAACAATCAAAAGTGGAGTTCTCATCTTTCGGTGATATGCCGCGATGTGTGCAGATACACTGGTCTTTCCGGTACCGGGAGGGCCGGTGATTAGAGTGACATAGTTTTTATAGCAGGTAGAAGCAGTTATTCCTTCTTGAACGGCTGCTATCTGTTGGTCATTGAGGGTTGTACGGATCGAATTGAGATAAATTTGAGCAGCTGTAGAGGGCGGCACAGGCAATTCGTCTTTTATCGTCCGGTTGTTGTGAGCCAGAAGTAACTCCCGTAGCCGATTATTTTTTGGGATTTTCAGGTTCTGATCACCATAGAGGACGTACCTGATGGCTTGTCTTGCTTGTCTGATTGCGGACTGCTCATTACCGAATTTCACGAGACCAGACACTTCTAGGACGTGACCACCTGTCGAAGTCTGATCAGATCTCTTCAAGCGAACAGCGACGAGGCTTGATGGCATTCTAATACTCGAAGGAAAGCTCGGGGGCTTAATAACCGTACCCAGCCATGTTTCTTTCGAACTCCCATTGCTAGCTTGTTGGCTCACAGTCACTCGGGTACCAGGCTCAGGCAGGGCTGATTCATTTTCGACGAAAGCGTCCGATGGGAGCCTCACTGTTGAGACATCCAATATGGCATAGAAATACTTATCTAGACCCTCGGTGTGCGCTCCGTGAACGGAAGACGTTGGGTACAAAGTAAATGTGTAGCTTCCATTGAAATTATTGCAGTAGGTTGTGCGCTGATATTCGGCCTCTCTCAACAGCCCGACGGTTTTGATAACTTCATAGTGGCGTTCGTTTAAGAAAATATAAATGGCGGGAAACAAGCTTCCGAGCGCACGGGGAGTGACAAAAGATGGGGGGTTGTTCATCCAGCCACGTTGACGAACTCCGATATGATCGCTAAGTGCCTTATCAGAGATCTTTGGCAAAGAGTCGATCCTGCACCAAGACCCCCCTGAGACGTATCTGCAGTCATAGAGGGGAAATGGTCCTAATGTTGGCATGGGCATCGCTGCCAAGAATCTCCAATTCTCTAGTAAATTTCCGCGTGCCCGGGTAATCACTCTGACTCGCATATCACTCGACAGAAGCTGACGGAAGATGCGCACAGCTTGGCTTTGGTCAGAGAGAGCTGCCAGAGCATTGTCAGACAAGTCGAATCCCATGCCATACGGTGCCTCACTGTGCCCCCAGGTTATGGTATAGTTGTCGGCATTGGGTGTTCCGCGGCACCTGGCTGCTTCACCTGTGGAGAGAGTGGTCCATGAAAACTGTACCCCTTGCAGTCTGCTTGAGAAAGTAATGATGCTACCTTGCAGAGGATTCTGATTTGGTCTGTTAACGGGACGGTCTACGTCAAAGCCCTTGTTCCCGAAGGCGGTCCAGATGATAGTGAGCGATCTCTGCTTGTTTTCCGGATTGGAATCTGTGAGTTGTAGTTCCAAGCAGAAGTGTGGCAATTCGGCGCCTCCACGGATGCTAAATCTCAGCCTTGTCGCGTCCGTACAAGCGATGGTCTGCGACTCCTGCTCATATTCTCGCCTCACATTGATGTAGCATGCCATTTCCGTATTGAAAATCTGATAGTCATTTACTGTGTGTTGTGATTCTCTATACCGACGGAAGGCATGTCTATCAAGCCTGAGCAAATTCTCGGGGGCTAGAAGAAATGAGTTATACCAGTATAGATGGTCTCTCACTACCGGCGTGAAGTTGATAACTCTTGGGAGGGTGGGTTCTGACATTCTGAGATTATTCGGTTTGCACAGCAGCCCACAGGGCCTGCTGGAAGAAGGAGAATGAAGAAGGATGGCGACTCAAAGCGAGTTAGTGAAGAGAAGTCAGTTGATGTAAGAGATGTTCTTTAAAGACCTGATGTATGTAGGTATAAAAGAAACCGGGAAGTAATTGTCCAAGTAAGAGAAGGTTGAGGATGTGATGAAGAAAATCTTTGCAGGGGATCGGGGTGGAGGGGGGGATTTATAGGGAAAAAAGCTGCGCTGTCCAGGGCCATCGTGCATTGAACAGTAACACACAGTGAAAGAATTTGTCACTGTCAGTCACCTCGAGTATTCACATAATAAGGACCATGAAGAGGACACCATTCAATCTCAGTACCGGACGCATACTAGTGAACGGACCATATCTACAAAGACCGTTCGAGAATTTTCCAGCACATCGAGTGCTGCTGACTGTCTAAACTTGAACATATGTCTCATGGCATGGAGAGACTAGCTGCAGTATGGCAAAGGAAACATTGCTAACGTTCATCGTTTCTTTGCGCCATAGCTTCATGGACTTAAGGGCAATCCCTGACGGGCACAAGGCAATTCTTTACATTAGCATTAGCAAGGAACACCTGTATCTATTCCCAGATACTGTATCAAAACAGCTCACTTCTTAGTTTAGTCTTTCCCTCTTCAGTGTCTCCAGTGATTGCTGCTTCCATTCACTCGTCTTTAGCTCTCACGTTCCTTTCCCCTTCCCCCTTCCCCCTTCTCACTTTCCTTTTTCAATCTCGCTTCCTCTATTTCATTCTCACTCATTCACTCATTCACTCACTCACTCACCATCACCATCACCACAATCACCATCTGCTTTCCCTCCTCCTCCTCCTCCTCCTCCTCCTCCTCCCAATCGCTGGTGTTGCCTGCTTCCTTTGGTCTCTCATCTTGCTGCCACCAGCTGGCCCAGTAGGCTGCTGCAGAAAACCTCTCTCTCCCTCCCAATCACTGGTGTTGCCTGCTTCCCTTGGTCTCTCATCTTGCCGCCACCAGCTGGCCCAGTGGGCCGCTGCAGAAAACCTCCCTCTCCCTCCAAATCGCTGGTGTTGCCTGCTTCCCTTGGTCTCTCGCTCAAAACGGAGCTAGAATAGTCTCTTTGTTTTCACTATGGAAACGGTAGGTTCCCCAAATCTCCAGTTTAAGCATATCAGAAAACATAACTAATAGCGTGCTCTACAGTATAATTCAAATCTCTCCTTCAATCGGGAGCATCTCGCAGTCCTACAGAATGACAGTTCAGCCGGGAACGTTAGCGGCATGTGGCTCTCGATACTTAATCATTATTTTCCGACTAGCAAAGAATACGCACACAGACCGGAGCAATACCAGAAAGACATGAGTGGCTATACAGATATTACATCTGTTAGATGGTTGGGAGATAATATCGCAGACTGTCGGCCCTTTTTAGTCACTCAGACCAAGAGAAATAGTGATGAGAACAGACAATCAGCGTGGGATACAGGAGAAAATCAATTAAGTCGTTATATCGGTGCAATAAAAGAGGGGCCGAACCGGAAATGGTATTGGGGAATTGTTGCGATTGGTAGTTCGGTTGAGTTCTACGAGTACAATAAGCATACCGATACCTTGAAGAGGACGAGTAACAGGATGAATGTCGTCACAAATCATAGAGCTATATATAATGCTCTTTGCAGGATCAAAAGAGCAGCTAAGTAGTCCCAGATTAATGGAAGTTGTTCCTCTCGTCTCCCTAGTTATCTAGATTTATCTGCTACTTAGAGGTACACAATGCATGTATCTCATCTAAACAAGTCAGTAGGCGCTGCCGTGTAGCTAACGCCTCCGACTTCTCTAGTCGTCTTTCCAGTTTCAGGCATAAGTGCTTCCAATTAATTCGGGGCGTAGGTGTCTTCACTTCATGGAAGATTTTCGTGCTTATCCGTGAGTGCCAGAAGTCATCGTCCAAGGTTAGATGGAGGGCTCTTTGTACATTGATAACTGCCTGAGAAGGCAGAAAGCCGAACACCATATTCAATATTTCCCATGGGAGAAGCAGAAGCATAGACTCTCGGACCTTCGGAGTAACCTTCGGATGAGGCTGAGAAACCTTCCCTTTGCTTCTAGTTCGCTTTTGAGTAGTCTGCTCCAGCGCTATTTTAACACACTCTGTCCGGACCGGGTCTGACACAGCAATAGTTCAACCATTAGTCCACTCGACAAAGGCAACGATGTGTTCAAAAATCTTGCACAGAAGGAATGAATATAAAAGTTGCATATCTACCTCCTAAACACTCGTCTGGCATTCCACACACCCGTCTCCACGAGTTCTCCTCATGCCTCTGTATTAAAGCTAACATGAGAACCTTCAGGTTCTTGTTCGCAATATCGCCTAGCTTGTGGTGCATGAGCAGTTCCCAGCACCGTGCGTGGACTGGATATCCCATCCAGTCATGGGAAATATCGTCCTCATACTCGCTCATGAGGGGGTGACCTCCGTCGTTCACAACCGTAATCATGGGCATGACCACCTTCCGCCTTTCGTCACTTGTACGAGGTTCGTAGATCAAACCATCAGTCTTCTTCCAAGGTACAAAGAAGGTGCCATAGTTTGTTCGTGGTATGGTAACGCCGGATATCTGGCACCCATCGTTTTTAATGTTGTGTAGAACTGGCGGGTATTTATGTCAGTAGCAATCAAACCTCCAGACAACTTTTTCTCGGCCTCCAGCAGTTTCCCTGGCCTTGATGTTGACCTCACGCAGTAAGTACTTATGATGGTAGGTAGCAGGTTAGCTTACTCATCCGACGAGGCATCCACCACCATGACTGATGCATGTTATACATATCCAAATTCTCCACTTTTTGGGCTTTGTAGATACCGTTTTTGGGTTTCCCAAAGGGGAAATCATTCAGGTCGTGTTCGTCTGGTGCATATCTTTTCAAGTAGAACGCGTAGCCGCAGATATGACATTGTTGGAAATAATCATCATCTTCTCCGCGAAAATCATCCGCATCGTAGTGGCCACTGCTATGTTCATCGTCAGAGGAAAAGAGCAAAGAGGAGTTGTTGGAGACAGAGTCTGGGTCTGGCATTTTCTTTTTCTGTGGAATTATATGTATCTGATTACCATCTGAATGCAGGTTAGGCTAGTTACTGGCAGGGGAAGTTGGATTGTTATAACGATTTTGTTGATACTCAGAGTAATGATGACATATTAGCGGAGAATCTATCAGAGCTTATGAACTTCCCTATACAAGATAAGTAGTGATGCTAGCATGATACTATCAACAAGCGGAGTGTTCTGACAATAGGATCAACCATGGCAATACCACCATACTAGTTACCCATCCACAGCATCATCGCCGGATATAAAGTCCATCCCTTATTCTGGCCTGACAACCATGGCACCACCCGGATAAACGGTCCACTTTTCCGATCCATCAGTGCTCAAGCACCTGCAGATTCGGATATGCACACCATTTATTGATCCACCAATGATGTGAAATTCCCGACCTCATCCTGTCCCCCCACGGCCTACAGCAGCTGTGCTACCCCCACGCGGGGTATGGGGGTATTTGCAGCTGCTATCGTTGGAGATCTAGAAGCTGTATTGCGTGGGGGTGCTACATAAATACTATGTCTGTTAAGTAGCTACGGCGTCATTGCAAAAGCAAGCTCATTGCTAATTCCAATTGTCCAGAATCATGGCTCCCATCAAGTCTATCGAGTACTTTCGCGTCAAGCCGCGCTGGCTTTTCGTCAAGGTGACGGACAATGAAGATAAGTTTGGTTGGGGTGAGGCTACGCTTGAGGGACATACACAGGCTGTGGAGGGTGCGTTGGATGAGATCATTGGGAGGCTTGTTGGTTATGAGGCTGAGTATGCTTCCTCAATTTCTTGGTTCTTATCTTGTTTCAGTGCTAATGGAGTAGTGACATCGAGCACATCTGGCAAACTATCTGGCGACTGGGCTTCTATCGCGGTGGGCCGGTTTTCATGTCCGCCTTATCTGGCATTGATATCGCATTGTGGGATCTGAAGGGTCGGAGGTTGAACGTACCGGTGTACCAGCTTCTCGGAGGCAAGGTACGCAACAAGGTACAGGTTTATGCTTGGATTGGAGGTGATCGACCCAGTGATGTTGAAGTAGCTGCGTAAGTCACTTTCCCACTGTTCACGTTCAACACTCTAATAATACCCAGCAAGGCCCGTCTTGCGCAGGGACTCAAATGCGTCAAGATGAACGCGACAGAAGACATGAACTGGCTTGACTCGCCATCTGCACTAGACTCTTGTATCGAGCGCATCAAACAGGTCAAGGCTCTCGGTCTTGACGCTGGTCTCGACTTCCACGGCCGTCTCCATCGCCCCATGGCTAAGCAGCTCGCGAAAGCACTTGAGCCCTACCGTCCTCTGTTCATTGAGGAACCCCTGCTCGTTGAGCACCCAGAAGCTATCAAACAGCTTTCTCAACACACAACTATCCCGATCGCCTTTGGAGAGCGTTTGTATACTAGGTGGGATGTGAAGCGGTTCCTCGAGGATGCGTCAGTGGACGTGCTACAGCCGGATATCGCGCATGCTGGTGGAATCTCGGAAACAAAGCGAATTGCGACCATGGCGGAGACTTATGACGTGGCAATTGCGCCGCACTGTCCTCTTGGTGAGTTTTACCCCTTCTATTCCTTCATCTTGTGAGCCACCCATGCTAATCGACTTGTCAGGTCCAATTGCCCTCGCAGCTTCAATGCAAGTCGCCCTCTCGACTCCGAACTTCGTAATTCAGGAAATGTCGCTCGGAATGCATTACAACGTTGAAGCCGGTGACATTGACCTCACAAGCTACCTAACAAATCCCACGGTGTTCAACATTGAGGAGGGGTATGTGCCAGCGCCTACAGGAGCGGGGCTGGGAGTGGAGATCGACGAGGAGATGGTGCGTAGAATCAGTGGGGAAACGGAGCCATGGCTACCGAAGGAATTCTATGGCGTCGATGGGGGTATTCGCGAGTGGTAGATAGCTTAGACTTGTAGGACAGAATGTGGGGGTGAATGCGGAGGTGATCTGCATCCTGACGTCTGAGAATGCGGAGAGCGTGGGGGTGCCTCGGATATCGGTCCGAATACATATACCAGCTATAGCTCATATAGTACTAAGATAGTGTTCACAAGCCATACTCAATCACTTCCACTCAATTGACTGTAAATAATGGACCTCTTCTCCCTCAAAAACACAACCGCCCTCGTCACCGGCGGCACCCGCGGCATCGGCCAGCAAATGGCCATTGCCCTGGCTGAAGCCGGCAGCGACGTGATTCTCGTCCAGGTATCCACCATAGCTACCTACTATACACCAACCATAGACTCTAACTGACACAAAATAGAGAGACACTTCCAACACCGAAACAAAACAACGCATCGAATCCCTCGGCCGCAGAGCAACCATCTACACGGCGGACCTCTCCTCCCGCGAATCCGTCTCACAACTCACACCTACCCTCCTCTCCGACGGCCATGACATCAGCATCCTAGTCAACTGCGCAGGCATCCAACGACGCCATCCCAGCCATCTATTCCCAGACAACGACTGGGACGAAGTCAGTTTTCCAGTCTCTCCCTTTCCCCTTCCTTCAAACCGCCCGTCCACTAACCAAATGAAATTGAAACATAGGTCCTCCAAACAAACCTAACCACCATCTTCACTCTCTGCCGCGACATCGGCGCCTACATGCTCACTCGCACCCCAGACGCCACCGGCCACCGCGGCTCCATCATAAACGTGGCCTCGCTGGTCTCCTTCCAGGGAGGGATTACAGTCCCTGCGTATGCGGCTGCGAAGGGCGGCGTGGCGCAACTCACGAAAGCGTTGTCGAATGAGTGGGCGAGCAAGGGTATCAATGTTAATGCGGTGGCGCCGGGGTATGTGGCTACTGAGATGAATACGGCGCTGTTGAATGATCAGGACCGCGCGAAGAGTATACTTGAACGTATCCCGGCGGGGAGATGGGGTACCGCGGAGGATTTCAAGGGCGTTACGGTGTTTTTAGCTGGGAAGGCGAGTCGGTATGTCTCGGGAAGTGTGATGTTGGTTGATGGGGGGTGGATGGGGAGGTAGAGTTTCTTTTGGGTGTGTTATACCATTTTAGTCAGTCCCTTTTGGGTATTTCGAGGTTAAGAGCTCAGTGTTACAGTGTGATACCGGAGTTGGGCAACAGTTCAGTTGTAGACCTAAATAATGAACCTTGTTATGTCACCAAAAGATATACAAGAAAACATAGTTAAATAACTATATTATGTCAATATGTTTATAAATCAGAAACAAAGGAAGAACAAAAAATTGATAATTCCGAACACCCTGAATACTCTTATGTGTCCTAAACGTGCAAGAGATTATACAGTATAGGAAAAAGTATTTCTCTAGCAACCCTCTTGAAGTGGATCCATATGCTGGATCGTCTGAAACAAGCAAGAGGCCCACACAGTTAATTTTAGGTATGTATCATATAGATAAGCTTATAGTCTAATTCCTCCAGGTTTGTCATGTACAGTGCTCAAAAAATGATGCTGCCTAGAGATATATAAGTCCTTAGTTTAAACGCTTGATGTGGGTATATGAAAGCATGAAGAACTGAAGATCATCATGGCCACCAGGCTCTCGTGTCAAGTTCCTTTGAATACGTCCTAGGTAGTGCATTTTAGTCAGCATCCCAGTACATATCGACTAGTAGGATGGTAGTAACGATAAATATACAGTCAGGTTCATTAGGAACTCCCTGCATACTACGATACCCTTCTGAGACACCCATGAAGCAAATCATCCTCCACTCGCCACGCATAATACAGAAGTAATGGCATAGATTAGCTTGAAATATTGCCGCGTAACCGGCACCTGGATGATCCTTGAAACCACGTCAATTCGGACAACTGCCGACTACTACCACCAAAAGAGGAAAAGCAGGGTCTGGCCAGAGCTCGAGAACATTTCCAGATCCGGACTGGTGCGGATTGTCTTGATCAGCAAGTTTGCGGAGACTAAACCTGATCCGGTGTACCGCTGCTTCATTCCCCACCGATACCCGTTACGAATCAACTTCTTTGCTGCATGTTTATCTCCGCGATCTACACTCAATCTTGCCGCATCAAGCCCTCTAGCGAAAGATTCTGCTCGTACTATGACGAAGCCTTCCAGGCCATTGTGCCGTATCGTTTGTAGATTTTTGCTGGCACAAGCATTTTTATTTCTGCTAGGAGTATACTGCTAGGAGTACTTGAGTCTAACATTTCATGCAGCTAACTCTAGTGACCTGCAGCCGCCTGAAGCCATACAAAACATGGAGATAGAATGAAGTTTTGATTCCGGCTGCCTGCGCCTTCTTACAGAGTACGATAAGGCACCTCGGCCTCCACCACCTGTTTTGTATGGTCAAGAACTAGTAGTATAAGCTTAATTATACCACCCCCACCTACGCACACTCTGTCCTGAAACCATGTGCAACAGTGGCTCTTTCAGAGCAGTCACACTGCGACACTCTGCATGTGTCCCAGTTTTAGAACCATTCTATATGCAGTACTGTGCATAAGTGCCTCTTTTAGAGCAACCGCCCTGCAACATTGTGCATTAGTGGCATATTTAGAGCCATCAACCTGCAACCATATGCATAAGTGCCATATCATAGAGTAACGGGTATACGGGCACTATAATTTGTGGTATTATACCACTCCACCTTTCGCGCATGGTAGATTTTAGTGCTAGAGTTCACCTGGGCGCTAAAATAGCAAGCCTTGATGATCCTCCACTCCAACCGGCATGCTTTTAGAATCAAGCTTTGCCCTACCAATCTGGTGGTCGCTTCTCCACTCTGTAGCCCGGAACCACAACGAGGAACGCGCAATCAGTGGATTTGACATGATTTGCCCCTGAAGCATCCCATACATCATCAGACATTGAAGCCTTGATACTGGCAACAGCTCAATCGTCCCACTTCTCGAAAAACCTCCTGCCGCGTCAGTCTCAATCATGGATGCCTATTTCCTTTTCTCTGAACGTAGCTCAGGGCGGACGAACAGGCTCCATCGGCTGCTTAAATACAGAATGAAGATCACTTTCCTCGGACAGATCAAACATTTCCACTCTTTTCATCATCAAGATGCGTCTCTCACTTCTCCTGGCGGGCGCCATTAACCTGGTTGCCACCCAGGCTATCGCAGCCTCGCGCTGTACTCCTGAGACCTTCACACCCCATCTTTCTTCTAATGCTTCCTTGGTCTACGCAGTTCCGTATGGACCCAACGATACCTTTGTTGGCCCGTTGGGCAACTACTCCGGTCTCCCCGAGTATTGTGCTGTTTATGTCAACGTGAGCTCGTCTGCTACTTCTTCCTACGAATTCGGCCTTTGGCTGCCCATCAACACCTGGAACAAGCGCTACATGGCCTATGGCAATGGTGGCTTCACTGGAATGATTGCCTTTGCTGATATGGTACCCGGTCTTTTCTACGGTTTTGCCACCGTTTCCACCAACACTGGACACAACTCCTCCGTGACTGAGGCTGGCGATGCAGGCTGGGCTCTCAACAACCCCGAGACTCGCACTGACTGGGGATGGCGTGCACTCCACGGCTCCGTTGCCCTTGGCAAGGAGCTTACTGAAGCCTTCTACAGCGAAGATATCAGCTATTCCTACTACGCTGGTTGCTCTACTGGCGGTCGCCAGGGTCTGAAGTCCGTCCAGATGTTCCCTGACGACTTCGATGGTGTTCTTGCTGGTGCTTGCGCTTGGTGGACCACTCACCAGCAAAACTGGGACCTCAAGCTCGCCACCTACAACCTTCCCAACAATGCCAGCCACCACATCACCGAGACTCAGGTGGATGCTTTGGCCACTGAAGTCCTCCGTCAATGCGACGAAGTTGATGGTGTCAAGGATAACATTATCATGAACGGCTATGCCTGCGACTTCCGTCCCGAAACCCTTCTTTGTGATGGTCCCTCCGCCAACAAGTCGACCTGCTTCACTGCCGATCAGATTGACACTGTCTACAAGATCTACAGCCCCTGGGTTGAGACCAACGACTCCTTTGTCTTCCCCAGCTTTGCCTACGGTTCTGAAACCCAGTTTGCTCAAATGATCATCACCGACGACGACGAGCAGGACAGCCCCAGTGGTATTGCCTACCCCCGTGACTTTGTCTATAACGACGCCAACTGGCCCTGGGAGAACCTGGACTTCTCGACCATTCAGCTGTCTGATCAACTGGATCCTGGCAATGCCACCGCCGGTGACTTCGATATCCGTCCCTTCAAGAACAAGGGCGGTAAACTGATCCATTACCACGGATTCGCTGACGGAGAGATCCCCACCGGCTCCAGCATTTACTACTACAAGCAGGTCCAGAAGATGCTCACTCCTCTCGGCATCGAGCTTGACGATTTCTACCGCTTCTTCCTGATCCCTGGTATGGAGCACTGTTTGGACTCCGTCCACGATGCTCCCTGGTACATTGCCTCGGCTAACCAACCCGGTGGTCTGACTGGCACCAATGTCTGGGGTGTGCCTGGATACCGTGACCGGAAGCACGATGCCATCCTGGCGCTGATGGCCTGGGTTGAGAATGGCATTGCTCCTGATGAGCTGATTGCGACCAAGTTCATTGATGACACCCCCTCGGAAGGTGTGCAGGCTCAGCGCCCTCTCTGTGTCTACCCTAAGGAGGCCAAGTATGTTGGAGGTAACTGGAACAAGACCAGCGCATTTGAGTGCCGGTAATTCGAATAATCTTGAAGGTCCCTCTCAGCGCTTAGGACTATGAGGGTGATGTGACCTAAGAGTACATAATATCACTTCTATGTATGATATATTCATCAATAGCATATAAGTACTAAATCTTATATTAAGTTTGTTGTGGAACTATTTTCCCGGTTACCAAACACTGGTCAATGCCGGTATAGGCTGTTGGAATATTTGGCAACTGAAAATGACTACTGGCTGATAAGCTGTGGTATGGCGTCTAGTGCACTACTGCTTTGCGCGGTTACCGCTGATTCAATTGGCCACACCCCCTCTCCCAACTCGACCAGGGGGTTCTAATCTCATTGCAGCACAACCAGAAGGGGATCAACTACCATAAAAGACTGAAGTCCCCCCCATCCTGTCACTGAAAACAACGGCAGTACATATAACATGGCACTGACAATTCCCGTCGAGATCTGCGACATGGTATGATACCCGTGCGCGACACCAGGCTGCGTGCTAACTCAATCGTGAGATCGTTGATCACGTAGTAGCCACAGTTGAGAAGGACTACTCATTACGCGATCTGTTTCCTTACACGCTTGAGCTAGAAGCTCGACCACAGCTCATGAGCTTACGCTTGGTTAGCCGGAATTTCTGTGCTGCCGCGTCGCCCCATTTGTTTAAACGCATTGTACCTCCGATTAACTCCTCAGTGCGCGGCAGGAGATCCCTACAAAGATTTGCTGAAATCTCACGGAGCAAATACGCTGCACATGTCCGCCATCTAGAGACCGGATACAACAGCTGGGGCACCACTTTCTGTCCAATAATCGGCCAGGAAATCCAGGATTTTGCTGGGTTGTTATCGCCTTGTCTTGCTCAACTGTGCGATTTACGCGTTCTTAAATTCAGGGCCTCGAGCGAGTCCTTGTCACGCGATCGCGAATGGGCTGCTATTGAAGCAATTGTTACAGCCTTACGATTTGTGATTCTACCCCATTTGGAGGGGCTTGAGCTCTTCTTTCCCATGGCTCATGATTTCCGATACTTCTTCCCCAGCCTTTTTTCTCCATTGCACATCCCCATGCAGGATCTACTGCACCGACTGAAATACCTAGCTTTACATGTCACTGCGTATACCAAAAGTCTGGGACAGCGATACTGGACAACCCCTGTACTGCCTGCGCACGCCGCCCTCCCAAATGACTTGCACGCCGCGCATCTCTTTAGATTAGTGGAGCTGGCTCCTAATCTAGAAGGTCTCCGGATCAGCAGTACAGACATCATACCTTTCCACACTATCCATTTCAGCCCAGCGCTCCGGCTCACCTCTCTGTGCCTCGAACGGGTCCTCATCACGTTCGACCACATCCGTGCGCTT